CATCCACTTACAGATGTAATTGATCCTTAATTAACAGCTTCTGCACTGATTACTCCGTAAGTCACTCACCTCTGTTTGGTAAGCGCTACAGCGATTCTCCGCTTGACTCTTGGCTCCTACCGTTAATCAATCGCTATGTGTACTGTAGTGTTGTTTAGGAGAAGAGTATGGAGAGGAAAACATGACTGAGAATGACTGGGCAGCAGCACAGACAACAGAGTTTTTCATTGAGTGAAGCTCCATTGGGAGTAATCTCTTTATCTCTTTCTCTCCTGTGCCTCAGGACAAAGCTTAATGCTCACACGCACACACTTCGATGGCACACGCTGAGGCAGTGAGGCATTATGGGCCGGGTGGGAAATGAACCTTTTTGCCCACTATCCACAATGGCTGATCAATGCTGAGTTTATGAAGTGAGTGAAAAGTGAAGAACACAGTTCCTTTTGAATTCACACTGGAATAGAAAATGAAATTGTATTACATTTTCACAATCACAAAAGAATATTTGAAAATGCACTAATGTCAAAATAAGTAACAAATATACTGTAAGACAAAAATCCAGGTGACTTGAATGAATAGACCCTTTTCATAACACATTTCTACATACTTATATATATATATATATTTTTCCCCCCTTTTTTATTTGTTTTCTTAAATTAGGCTATTACTGTAGTTAAATGTGTAAAAAAAAAAATTCTGGACCCTTTTTGTGATGAGGCATTTCCCCAACTATTAATATAATAAATATATTCAAGTTTTTTATATGTTCATTTTTTAAAAATAGTGTGCGTTTTATTAAGTTTGCTTTAATTTACAGAAAACTGGTTAATGCTGCTGTGGGTGTTTATAACAGGTTACAACATAATAAATCTCTTTATCCTCTTTTGGAAAGTCATAGAAACACTGTTGTTGATTTTTTTTCTTTTGGTACTGGATCTTAAAGGAACACAAAAAGTATAATCATTGTAGTTTCTGTTCACCCCTACAGAAGTTTACCAAACTATGACAAGAGCTGCTTCTGAGAACCCCAAAAAGCGCACAAGTTTGACATATTTTTTCTCTTCTGACCAAATTAATCTCTCAGTATTTTTTCTTCCTTTGTAAAAGGCTATAGTGGACTTTTCCTTTTGATATCGGAGCAAATAGGAATGCAAAAATCATATTTTGTGAAAAGAGTCCATTGGAAAAGAAAAGAGGAAAGAGAAAGGAGGAAATGTGAAAAGAGTCCATTGGATCAGAATGAACAGCCAAGTTAGACACATGCCTCACCATTTTTTTTTTTTAAATAGCCTATATCTTCTTCAAAATCTAATCAAGCATTCAACAAGAGTGCGTCATTGTTTTCTTTCATTTCTTGTCAAATGCCAATCCAAAACTAGTCAACTGTCACAGGAAATAGTTGATAAGACAAAATTACCCTCACTGAAGAGTATTTAATTACAAATGTGAGGCAAAAAAGTTTGATTACATCATATGTTGTGATCCGACAAAACTACATTATACATTACAACTACATTCATTATAAACAGAGCATTGTAATGGACCTGCAGTTGACAATAGCCCTTTTTTCCTTTTTTCAATTTGACATTGACAGCTACTCCAATCCCATTATTCTACCTTCTCATCTGAAATAAAAGGATTGTATGCACCAATATATAATATAATATGTAAGGTGTCAGACTGCTATGTATTTTACTACTTGCATCGAACTAATAACTTTAGTTCAGCTGATGCTTCCGGTCTTCTACAAGGGAGAAAATAGCAGTTTTCAAGTCATATAATCTCACATAATTGCACATGTACAGCAGTCCACTAGACATAAGTAAAAGATGAGAAAGTTGACCGGAAAAAAAAACTGGGTCTGTAACTACACTAAAAGTCGGTAAGATATTCTTTTTTTTTTAAGTCTCTAATGCTCCAAGGCTATATTTGTTGAATCAGAAATAGCTTACAGTAATACAGCAAAATTATTGTTTATTATCAGTCTTGAAAACAGTTGTGCTGCTTTATATGTTTGAGAAAACAATTATAAATCTTTCAGGATTCTTTGATGAACAGAATGTTCAATAGAACGACATATTTGGAATAGGAATATTTTGTAATATTATAAATGTCTTTACTGTCATTTTGAATCAATTTATTGCGTTTTATTTCTTTAATAAAAAATAAATAATCAACTAAATAAAAAATCTTACTGACCACAACCTGTTGATCAGTAATGCATATACAGTTACATTTCAGGCTTGTTAAGCACTTGTGTTTGTTGCCCCCAATAGAAACCAGCTGGCTTGTGGCACAAAACTAATTTGAGTTTGCAACCCCTGTTATAGGGGATTAATTTCCTAACACTGACAGACATTATAAAAATAGTCAGATGTTATATTATATACCCTGTTTAATAGGCTGATTGGATTTCTGGAGACGTGTTGAGGCACCGCTGTCTGGACAGTGTTTGTACTGCAACGGGTTCCATAGAGATTAGTGAGTGCACAAATCAGAGCCATCGCCATGCTGAGCACATAAGACTGCAGCACAGTGTCTCTTTCTCGCTGGCTCTCCTTTCTTGTCGGTCTGATAAGGCTACATAATACAAATGAGCACCACCCATGTCAGTACATCATAGATCAATTGAATGGACTGAATACAGATTGGATTGCAAGCATGTTGAAGCTGCAATCATCTCAACAGCACAAATGAACAATAGTTCACCTGTCATCTTTTACTCACCCTGACGTCGTTACAAACTCGCTTGATGTTCTTTCTTCAAAAGATGACTGCCATTTACCGTCACTGTATTGAAAGAAAGACTGGTGACCAGGCCCGGATTGGCTAATCGGTAGCACTGGGAGGATTCCCGGTGGGCCGGTCTGTTTTTTTTTTGGCCGCGGTGTTGTCATGCCACTGGGGTTGAAATATGGATGCTGTCCACTGATCTATAATAGATATTATATATAGATCAGTGATGCCGTCCCTAGACTGCCTGCACTCATAGCAGCCCCACTCTTTTTATTTATAATTTTCTCGCAGCCCATATTATTATTTTCACCAGACCATATCAATAACAAATTCTCAATTGATAATTAATCATTCTTTTTGCTTAAATCATTGTTTTGTTTGTGAAGTAGCCGTTTGAGGAAGGCTTTAAAGGGGTCATATGATGTTGCTAAAAAGAACATTATTTTGGTGGCCTAGAGTGAGCAGAGGCGGCGGGCTTGAAAACGGCGCGGCCGGCGGATTCGACGAAGTAGCGTCCGGGGGGGTTGCGGCAACCACATGTGACAACCCCGGGCTGGACTCCGCTTCGTCCAGCTCAAATTGTATATTGTATATGCGAGCAAAAAATAATAGATGAAAAATGGATAATAGAAAGCACAAAGGTGGCACTGAAAAGGCCAGTAAAAAAAATAAAAAAATAAGTGGGTTGGTCTAAGGCATGAAACTCCAGGGCTGAAAATGAGTTCCACTCCGGCCCTGCTGGTGACTGAGGTATTCGTTCTGCCTAAGCCAAATCTTGGCTGTTTGAATATGTGAAATGCTCATAAAGGAATAAATGTAAATATATTTAACCCAGTGGGACACTGTACAGCAGGCGCCCCTCGCACACGTCCATGGTCATAATTCACTTGACATTCCACCGTGACATCAAAAGGGGACTTTACATTTGGCTAATCCACATAACTCACATTTACATAACATCTGTAAATAGCTACCTTAACCACCCTACTTAACTAGCTGTCAAGAAAGTTTGAATTGCGACGTGTCTGTTTGCATTCTTGGTAACCAGAACCATTTCCCTGTTCCCATTTTCATCTGATTTTAAGACATCAGAATTGACACTATTTTAGCAAAAGTTGCCGGTCTGACTATCAATTTACTAACACACAGTTTTAACAATATAATTAATTCACCAACAAATTGTCAAAATAATTCACTAACAAAAAGTCTAAATAATTAAAATAAATAAAATAAAAATAAAATTAAAACAACCTTCCATCTGGAGATGCTTTAGTAAAATAAAATAAAATAAAATTAGTTTTGACAAAATTAGATTCAATTTAATAAACTCAAATTTAACAATTTACACAATGAATTCCCCAACAAATAAAATAAATGGATGGATGGATGGATGGATGGATAGATGGATAGATAGATTTATTAAGTTAATTATAACAATAAAATTAATTTCAACAAATTTATTCAAATAAAATAAAATAAATTTGACCTGCACTGTTTTATCAGGTGTTCAGGTCCAGTTTTATAAACCCAAATTTACATATAATGATTAATTCCTCAACAGATAAAAAACAGGTCTAAATAATTAAATAATAATAATAATAATATTTTTTTAATTTATTATTATTATAATTTATATAATTTATCTTGAATCATCAGAAATAACAACAACAACAACAACAATAATAATAATAGACTATTAATAAAAAAGACTGTTAAATATTTTGTTATATATAATTATGCACCGTGGAAGATATACTGTACTCCTTTGTACTGTGCAGGCAGTGTAAAGCAACATTTAAAGCAAATTACTACGCTTGAAATACTGACATTGACACCGCTTCGGGATTGCAGGCCTCATTTTCCCAGAATGAGCCTCACGAACACCCATGCACACGCATCCTGTGACCTCAGCTCTCGAGTGGGCTTGGTGCCACGATTTTTAATGTCATTAACAGGTGGCTTTCTAAAATAGAATCAAGAAATGCTCACGCACGTACTCACATACATAGCGACGCAAGAAGACACAAACATCATGCTGGCATGGAGACACACATTGAAATCTCAGCAGAGCAGCCATGAAGTAACAATTGACAGACAGAAACAGACCCGGTGCCAACGTCCCTAAAAAAAATCATTGATATCATTATGCCCGGACATGGGTGTGATCTTTTTCAGAAGCATACAACCCCCACCCCTAAATACTAGCGCTGTGCCATATCGACGTCCTCCCTCTTTAAACCCCTCTCTTACGTACTTTCTGTCCATCTCACAGAAACCCCCTACACGTATTCGACACTCGACAGGTCAGCTGCTTCTTTGTGCTCTTGTGATCCACTGTAAAAGTACCTGCTTTGTCAGCACTGTTAAGGTACAATTAAAAGTCATAATATTGGTTTTAGTTGCAGAAAACTTTCATTTGTGTCAGTCTGGAGCTTATGTGCTTTTTTATTACTAATATACTAGGTACAACATGGTATGCCTGAACAATAAGTCATGTTTGATGTTTTTTTTCTCTAGATACTATATACTCTGTGCTGTTTGGCAGTATTAGCATGTCCCGTTATTCCTTAAACATGCTGTGGTTTATATCTTGGCTGGTATTTTCTATAAGGTAATTCAATGAAGCTAATAAGTCAATCAAGAGCTGCATGAAATATCTTTTTAGAAATATGCTGTATGTTCTATATACTGTAGAGTCTCTGCTTCTGCCATACCAGCAAACTAGCTTTTTCGCAGCATAACAAAAATAGTCACTAAAACAAGTTTCAAGTTTTTACTTGGTTACATTGTTACTATTAAAAGGAAAACAACTAATTGTTTTCTGATTAATCTGTGCCAAACAGCTTTTGAAACTATTGGATATTATCAGAAATGAGACTAATGGCTTTTTTCGTGGGTGGTGCTACAGTAAGACCATTACTTTGAAATCAAAATCATGGGGGTTTGTTGTGACATGTGACTCTTAGCATAGAAAGAAAGAAGCCTCTTATGCCCACCAAGGCTGCATTTACTTGATCAAAAATATCAAAAATACAGTAAAAACCATACTATTGTGAAATATTATTACTTTATATTTTTACTTTAAAATCACAGTTTTTTTGTATGTGTGTGTGTGTGTTTTATATTTTAAAATGTAATTTATTCCTATTATGGCAAAGCTGATTTTTCAGCATCATTCCTCCAGTCTTCAGTGTCACATGATCCGTCAGAAATCATTCTAATATGCTGATTTGCTGCTCAAAATTTCTTATTATTATCTATGCTGGAAATTTTTGTGCTGCTTAATATTTTTGTGGAAGCTGTGATACTTACGTATTTATTTATTTATTTATTCATTCATTCATTCATTTTCAGGATTAATATAAATAATATAGACTATATGTAATGTAGAATATAAATAATAGATTAAATATACATAATATAGATCTATATAGAATATAGATACATAGAAATAGGAATGATTTGAAATACAATATTTTTGTAACAATGTAAAAGTCTTTACTGACACTGTTAATCAATTAAATTAAGACTATAATTGCAAACACACTACAATTCTGTAGTTCAGAAAGTATATAGCCAATTTCATGAAACACAAAACACATTTCATGGGGGGGGGGGTACCACACCATTATAAAATGTGCAAAAACAACATCAACAAAAACATTTAAATATCTTATATTCAAATGATTGATTTCAAAATTTACTGGCCCAATTGATCAAATTATGATGCTGCAATAAACTGAATTATGACATACGTCTTGAGACATACACGGTAGCATATATGGTGATACCCAATTCTACTCATGTTAAACATTTTCCTCCATAAAACTGTGCTTAAAGGGGTCATATGATGCGATTTGAAGTTTTCCTTTCTCTTTGGAGTGTTACAAGCTGATTGTGCATAGATAAGATCCCTGAAGTTGCAAAGACTAAAGTCTCAAAACCTTGATTCACTGTTTCATCATGTTCTTGATTTTTTTAGAGTAACCAACCTGACCAACCCCTGACTTCATCATCTCATCATTCACATCTTCAAGCTGTATTAGCATTCAGTGTCAACACTCTTTGTATGAATGGGCAATGCCTTTCCCTGTCCTACAGCTCCCAGCATCCTTCAGCTGGCCTTAACACCTCCATTATTAACATCCTCAACCGCATCTTCTTCTGACGAAGCCTACATTAGAAACACAGACTGGCCCAGATTAATCACGCTGGATCAATCTAACTCAGACTTCTCCAGCACTAACTGTCTTTGTTTGCCCTCCCATCTGATTATTTTGACCTCAAACATCTAAGAAGACTTAAATGTCCTTTCAAAATAAGCCTCTCATTAATTTGTCTGGATCTCTGAAGCTACAAATCAATCATGTGGTCCACGTTCATCGTGCAGGATGAAGAGGTAAGGACGGTGAATCCATCGGCTGGGGTGCACCAACCTTCCGGTGGGCTGGAAGGGTTTTTGGGATCACGAGGCGGTGGACGTAAACGCCGAAACAGAACGCACTCCAGTTCTGGAGTTGGAGTTAGTGAAAGCCAAGAGGGCAAAATCAAGTTGACTTTGTTCATGGCTGTAACCGGCATCATGCTTACTGTGCTCGGGGTGGGAACAGAGTTCTGGGTGGAGCTTAAACCATCCAAGAGCTTCTACAACAATCAGACTTGTCTGGTGGCACATTATGGCTTATGGAAATGCTGTACCAAGACATTCTGGGTATCAGATATGGACCCAAAGCAGGAGATCTGTGGGCCTTTGCACTTACATGAAGGTAAGAGCTATTGTAAAAAAAAAAAACTGGAGCAGGAGAATTCTGAATAATCAGAATAACATCAATTTTTTGGATCCCATTATAGAATCCAATTGCACCTTCTTTAAGTTCTACACCACTGGAGAGAACATTGTCCTATTTCAGAAAACGCCAGAAAAGGGTGAGTCATTCCACATCCTCCTCTCTATCTTTAGATACGTAGCACTAATGTGTCTTTCTTTGTGTCGTCACTGAGTGCTGACCCCATATATCCATTTTTCACCAAAACATGATAGGTAGCCTAGATGGTGTATGAGCAGCAACAAATAGCATGAATAATAATATGATGGAAATAAAATAAAATGAAGAAATGATTGGTTGATTGGAGATTGAATGCCATGCCAGCTTCCTTGGCTATTTTCATGGCAAGTAACAAGTTGAAATACTTTAAAAGAGCCAAACCCCTGTAAGGTTTTTTAAAGTTTGCTTTAAAACTCTAAAATGAAATCAGTGATTGACTCTATTCAAAATGTCTTCAAAAGTGTTTGTGGCGCAATATAATTCCCTACGAGATATATAGATATATATATCCATGTAAAAAATGACCGTGAGTTTAACGGTAAAAGACTGTAAAAATGCTACAGTAAAAGCCTGTTAAATGGTTAACTGTAAATTCCCCTACTATATACGGCGAAAAACTGTATTGGACATTACATGTAATTGTATGGTAGTATACCATTTTTGGAAGTGAAAAAGACCGTATAATTGACATTCCCAGAATTCCCTGCGTTACATTTCCAATTTGATGTTTTTTTGTTGAAATAACTATGTTTCTTCTTAGTTTTTTCTTATCAGTTTTTTTTATATTAGGGTTGTGTGTTACACCTAATGTTGTTAAATGAATGTGTGACGAGTGGGGGCGGGGCCGGGAGCCGTGGGAACGGAGCGAGGCCGGTGGAGTAATTGATAATGAGCGACACCTGCACCATTCACCGGTCTCGAGTCCCACGGAGGAGCTCCGGAAGGATAAAAGGAGGAGTTCATCATGTGACTTTCTCATCACCACCTGCATTTGGTGGTTATCAGTGTATTACAAAGGTTCAAAACAAATTTCAGTACTTCAATAGGTTGGTATATTAACATTATATCAGTTATTGAAATTACGGTATTGAACTGTAAATTTAAGTTGCTACCGTATTTTTTACGGTAAAATTCCGGCAACCACATTTTACGGAATCTTTTTTACAGTGTAGTTTTAAGAAAATATGAGGGTGGTATGGAACATATTTCAATAAATGAAGAAATGAAACATTACATTTCCTACAGAGAAAGATTCTTGAGGTGTTTTGCACCAGTTTTGTACCAGTTTTCGGTAACATTTTACAGTAAGGTTCTATTTGTTAACATTACCTAACATGAACCAACAATGAAAAATATATGTAAACATTTAATTTCTGAAGTGATCATTCCTATATTTACTAATACATTATTAAAAGTTGTATCTGTTAATATCATTTAATGGACCTGAGCTAACATGAACTAACAATGAACAGTTGTATTTTTTATTAACTATTATGAATAAATACTGTAACAAATGTATTGCTCTACATTCTCAACTAATGGAACATTATTGTAAATTGTAAGCAAATTTTCTGAAGAACATTACCAGTATAAACATATTTAAAGGTGCACTCAGTAATACTGTACTAATTAAAAGGTTAATGATTTTCACTTTTAAGAGATGTCAATAAAATGATGTACTCTTACTGCACACGAGTATCTTGTAATTGACAGCCACAGAAAAAACATTCATCCAAGTGCTAATGGCCCATTCATGATGGCAAACCGCCTAAAAACAACAACAACAACAACAACACAAAGTTGGTATTGAATCAGAAAAAATATATATTTATTGCTAAATACAGTTTAAAGACAAAAAGAAGTATGAAGTCACAGAAATGAATAAATATTTATGCATCCATGTCAATATAAAGTCTAAGAAAACTGGAACAAAGAAGTAAATGTAAACCAAGCCTTACAGAGTGTACCTTTAAAGCAAAACATGTTCTAAATGTTAATTCAGCTCAGTATGTGTGCACTATGCCATCATATTACTGCTATTTGTTAAGACTCCTCTTCTCCCATCAGATCTGACAGTAGCGTCAGCCATGTTTGCTATCATGAGTCTTTTCCTGATGGTGATGGGAGCTATCTGCGTTATCATGGCAGTAAGCAAAGGTGTTCAGTTCTTCTTGAAGCCAGCCGCAGTTTGCTTCATACTGTCAGGTAACATTATATGCCATTGGCTAACACCTCTAAACTAAATATTACAAATGCATTTTACATGATGCTTTTATCCAAAGTGACTTTAAGTTCATTCTTTGGAATCTTCATACTGTTTAAAAGTCTGGGGTCGGTAGGAAGTGTCTTATGCTCACCAGGGCTGCATTTATTTGATCAGAAATACAGTTAAACAGCAATATTGTAACATTGTTCAAATTATATATTTAAAAATGTAATTTATTACTGTTATCTTCATTGTCACATGATGCTTCAGAAATCATTCTAATATGATGATTTGCTTCTCAAGAAACATTTCTTATTATCAGTGTTAAAAACAGTTTTGCTTAATATTTTTTGTGGAAACCATGATGCATTTCATTTCTAAAGTACAGCATTTGTTTAGCATTTGAATTTTTTTTTAGCATTATAAACATCTTTACTATGTCACTTTTGATCTATTTAATGCATCATTGCTGAAAAAGGTTAATAATAATAATAAAAAAACCTCATACTGACCACGAACATTGAACATTAGTGTATACACTGATTTTAATATTATTATGGGTTGTCTGTTTCTTTAAAATACATATTTCAGAGTTGTTTCACTCCTATCACAGCCATTTATGCTAAACACATGTAAAAAAAAAAAACGGTGTAGAAATTTCTAGGAAATTTCACAAAGTTACAAAAAAATATATAAATTTGGAGTAATAACATTAAGACCGAGATTTTTTTTTTTTTTTTTTCAAAAGCAGAACTAGCCAAACAATGTATGCTAACACAAATGCTGCAGGGTCATTCAGAAAAGACAATTCCCTTAATTCCATATTGCTAATAAAAGCCAAGCAACATAAGTTTGTATACATCTGATGGTATTCTTTTTTTTCTCTCTGTCTCTCCACAGGTGTCTTAATCTTCCTCTGCCTCATGGTTTTCCACCAATCAGTGCTGTCTTTCTTAGCAAGTGACCAATCCATACCTCTACATCATGAAATGTCATGGTCAGTGACGTGTGTGGGCTGTGCTGGGGCTCTGGTCATTGTCGCCGGGGTCTTGTTCTTGGTCCTTGCTCTTCCATACAGTCCTTGGGAAAAGTGCTTACCTAAGAAAAACAGTGACATCTAGTGGTGTGGGGGCTGAAGTGCACTTCTCATTCAGATTTGCACGGAATCCTCTTGATAAAGTGGAACAGACAACAACAGTACATCCTGGTGAATCTGGGTATATATATAAAACCAATGGTTGGCAATATGATTATACTGTGCAAAAGTTGGCACTAGAGAGGATGCTGTTGGGAATGTAACAGGAAGTGGGCCAGACATTTTGGTAGAGTACATGTATCATTAGGATGGAATGCCTAAAATAATAAGCTCATAACTTTAACATAATAGCACTTTTTTGGGAAACTCGTGCAATATTTAATTATTGGTTGAACTATACCTTTTGTTATTTTAATGTTTTTAACTGATATGTCCAAGTTAAACTTGATGCTGTATATTTTGGTTGACTTTAGGTTGAGGTTCTGAATACTGTTATATTTAACCTTTTATGAGGATTGAGGTATAATTGAGGAAAACGTATAATATTTAGTATCTAGGACTATAATTTTGGAATCCATACTGTAGTTATGGCATAAATATAATTGTGGTATAAATGTCATTATGGGCATCATTGGGTTTCCATTGAAGTTGTAGGTAACAGAAATGAAGCTTATTTATGCTTTTATGTTTATGTTTATGCAGACATTTTCAAGCTTTGATTTGGTCTTGGAACTAAAGTACATCCAAAAAACATATGAATCTTTTCTCCTTTGTGATGTGGAAAACAGGCTTCATGTCTCGTCACTGGGGGAAATAAGAGAACCACTTGAAATCCATAACAAAGCTGCTTGAGATACATGAGTGAATTTATTCTGCTCCTGGCCGACACAGACTGTTTATTAACGGTGTGGAATTGCATATTTGAAAAACAACATGATCACTCAATTTATTTGATTTGATTTATTTTTGGAGAAAACTGCAGCATTGTAAATAAATAACGAATAAAGTGATGATTATTCACAGGAACACAAATTCAAATGTGCTGGCTGATTTGCAAAAGTATACATACTGAGAAATTGATATTTTGGAAAAAGATAGGTGTTGGTTTTAACTGTGGAAATATGTCGTCAAATTCTCAGAAAGAGGGCAGTTTCGTTTTTGAAAAGGAACTTCAGTTACATGATGGTGCTTCCAGTTCTAATGAAAATCTGGTTTTGGGTTTCATCCGTGGTTTTAGTCTGGCAGCTGACAGCACCAGTGAAAAGCCCAGTTGATTCTGACCAGCCCTCTTCATCTGGAGGTGGTCGCTTGATGACAGCAAGAAATGAACTGAAATCAAAAGCATTAATTAAAAGCCCCAACGTCAGCTGCTGCTGCTGCTCCTGCGGCTTCCCATTGTGAATGCTGACACTGATGCTGATCTAGAATCAGTTATCGAAAGTGTTAGAGGAAAGCAGATCATAATAATGAGAAACTTTCATTGTTGGCTGCCTCTGGTGCATGACAAAAATAGCTTTCCTACTGAGTTGGGCTAGATTATGCAACAATCCGAACTAGGAAGGCGCTGGTTTAAAAGTCAAACTTTGAGCGTTTTATTTATTTATTTTTAGCCTGTTAATGTGACCTTTTTATTAAACAAAATAATGTTTTGATGAAAGTAGTTTTGCAAGTCTGCAGTGACATCCAGCACCACAATGAAGCACTCTGGGATTTTTCAACAGATAATTTGCCTTTCAGTGTTTTTTTCCCTTGGCAAAGGGACTAATTCTTCCCATTTAAGCAATGTTTTCTGTCTTTCTGGTAGTTCTGTTATTAATATCATCAGTTCTGTCAGGACCACTATCGTCAATATAACTTACGATTTGCATACATTTTAGGTTGGGGGAATGGTTCTGTTCTGGGCAAACACTCCCTGCCCATCCACGCAGCCTAGCATGGATAGGAGCAGGGAGAGCAGAATACCCCCCCTAGGGTAACAGAACAGAACCAACATCAATGATAAATGTAGCAGATACCATTGATGTTCTACGAGATTATTTTAACAACATGATTCAGTGGTCTGACTCAATGATATATTCACTGCCAAGTCCTGACTGGACGAGAGGAGGAGCTGGGGATGGAGGTGGGTGATTAGTTCCTGAGCGAAGCGATAGCTGCTGAATAATGACTGAAGGGACCTAATGAAGGGAATTATGATTGGTGTCGTGATCCTATAGGTAGACGTGGATCAGCTGAGTGTCAGCTGATGCGAGCTTGACTAACATGGCCTGCCAGAACTATCGCTACGCTCCATTTCTGGTTTTGGTTCTGACTAATTTCATGATTTTTACTATTGACTGAATGGAAATTGCACATTTTTGTATTCAAATATTTGTGAGTGAATTTTAAATAAATATTTAAATTTTGTGCATTATATTATATTATATTATATATCCTCTCAGGTGTAGTATTTTAGTTTTATAAATTTTGACTTCAAAGGTCTTACTGTACACATGCATGTTAACAAATGCATTAAAACAAAGTGTGATATTAGAGCATATTTATAAATAAAGAGTGGTAAAGATCTGTGTATGCATTGAATCTTATTCTAAATCTTTTATTGTCTGACTGAATAAAAATTGCACATTTTTGTATTCAAATATTTTCTGAGTGAATTTTAAGTAAATATTTGGATATTTTAATTTTGTGCATATATTATATTATATTATATTATATTATTATCAGGTGTAGTTTTTTAGTTGTATAATTTTTTACTTCAAAGTTCTTAAGTCAAAGTGTGATATCAATGCCTTGTTCATAAAAAAGAGTGGTGCAAATATGTGTATGCTTTGATTCTTATGCTAAATCGTGTTTTGTCTGCTGTCGATCTCTCCTGCATTGGAGTACTTGTACATGTGCAGACTACACATTCACTTCAGTATTTGTCAGATATGTGAAATGACATCCATGCCGAAGCCAAGATTCTATTGCCTATTTCCATCCATCCGTTTCGGATGTTTGGCATGCTCACTTGATATGCATTACTGTGTGTGCCAATCATCAAGTGAACGCGATTCCTCTCCTGACTTGAATTAATGCAAATTTATCATAAAGAATAAAACATCAACCACCTTGCCTTCATCAGTTGTTTCTTTCTGTCACTGTCACACAGAAACACATGTCATTTTCTTTTTTGACCTCCTTCCAGATTTCCATCTCCCTGTTCATCCCACTCATCTCATTTCCTCCCTTCTGCTTCCTCTAAATTTAGAGCGTGGCCAATCGCGCTCCAGAGGACGTAAGCAACACAAACATGGATTAGAAGTGCGGTTCCTCTCTTTTACAGAGCCACCCAAGCCTCTCGTAAAATAAAGACCATCGGTATAACTAGTTTCATTTACACCTACACATTGACTGACACCAGTATGGCGTGGATGTTCTACTTCAGTTCAGCTTTGGTTACATATCAGGTGTCTTTACCTTCAGTGTGACCTAGATAAATCTGCAGGCCACATGGCAACTTAATCTTCTGATGAGTTACAGCTTGTTTATGTTCGGCCTATCTTTAAACTCTGCCCTTGTTGGTTTGACCTCTGAAAACTCCGCGCTTACAGTTCACATACCTTCAGCCTGCTAATGATCGCTACCGGTATTCCGACGCATGAGATACCTGATCCTAAAGACCCCAAGAAAATGCTTGACGAGTGTAGTTTTCTTGTGACGATGTATTTCTTTAAATAGCTTGTAGCCTCTAGTTTACGTCACAGTTATGAATCATTATTTGCTACTTGCTAATGCTAGTCAAAAGCAGGTAGTATTAGTAGGAAGGACATTTTATTCTAAAAAATATATTATTGGATATACATTTGTAAACATTAATGATTCAGGATGAGTCATAAATATTTTTGGTCTGGTTTTCTAAAAGAAGAAGACGGTAAACTTTAAATGTGTCAATCTGCTACAAGCTAACTTTGTCAACTTTTAGGAGAACATATAGATGCATATATGTACACATGATATAGATGACCTTAAAAGCTAGCTACTTCCCTATACAGGTGCATCTACAATACAAAACAATTTTTTTTTTTTTTATATTTCGAAAAGTGAAACTTTCATATATTCCAGATTCATTACATGTACAGCAAAACATTTCAAAAGTTTTTTGTTTTAATTTTGATAAGAGCTTACAGCTCATGAAAGTCAAAAATCCAGTATCTCAAAATATCAGAATATTTACATTTGAGTTTCATTAAATGATCATCCCTACAGTATAAATTCCAAGTCTCTCTTGTTCTTTGAAACTTCAATAATGGGGAAGACTGCTGACTTGGCAATGGTCCAGAAGACAATCATTGACACCCTCCACAAAGAGGGAAGTCACAGACGGTCATTACTGAAAGGGGTGGCTGTTCACAGAGTGCTGTATCAAAGCATATTAAATGCAAAGTTGACTGGAAGGAAGAAATTGGGTAGGAAAAGGTGCACAAGCAACAGGGATGACCGCAAGCTTGAGAATACTGTCAAGCAAAGCCGATTCAAACACTTGGGAGAGCATCTGCTGACAAGCTTTATGGAGATGCTGATTTCCTTTTCCAGCAGAACATTAGCACCTGCCCACAGTGCCAAAACCACTTCTAAGTTGTTTGCTGACCATGATATTACTGTGCTTGATTGGCCAGCCAATATGCCTGACCTGAACCTCATATGAAATCTATGGGATATTTTTAAGAGAAAGATGAGAAACAGTCGATCCAACAATACAGACGAGCTGAAGGCTCATTGACGTCTGCTGGTGTTGGTCCATTGTGTTTTATCAAGTCCAGTGTCAATGCAGCCGTCTACCAGGAGATTTTGGAGTACTTTATGCTTCCATCTGCTGACAAGCTTTATGGAGATGCTGATTTCCTTTTCCAGCAGAACATTAGCACCTGCCCACAGTGCCAAAACCACTTCTAAGTTGTTTGCTGACGATGATAT